CTCTACATATGATGAAGGTGCTATTGGTTACAGTAGTGACCTTGAATCTCAGGATTTAGAAGGGGCAGTAGGGGGCTGCTACCCAGAATCTATTAAACTTTGTCATGTAGATCATAGGAATGACTCTGGCTTTCATGAAAATCTTGAGTTCCAACATATACTTCACAACCATACTTACCACTTACAGCCAAGTGTACCAGAACCCTCTTCTGAATCTTTTTCATGGTGTGGAAAGTCACCGAAAAAGAGTAGACACCTCGAAGACACAGACAGAAATCTAAGCCGTGATGAAAGACGTGCTAAAGCTCTGCATATTCCTTTTTCTGTAGATGAAATTGTCCGAATGCCAGTTGACTCTTTCAACAGCATGTTAAGCAGGCACTACCTCACCGACTTACAGGTTTCACTCATCCGTGATATCAGACGAAGAGGAAAAAATAAGGTTGCTGCTCAAAACTGCCGTAAACGCAAACTGGACATAATTGTGAATCTAGAAGATGATGTAAGTAACTTACAGGCAAAGAAAGAAACCCTTAAGAGAGAGAGAGCTCAATGCAACAAAGCTATTGACATAATGAAAAAGAAACTGCATGACCTTTACCATGATGTTTTTAGTATGTTAAGAGACGACCAAGGTAGGCCAGTCAATCCAAATCAGTACACACTTCAATGCAGCCATGATGGAGCCATTTTGATTGTACCCAAAGAACTGATGTCAGGTCACAAAAAGGAAGCCCAAAAGGGAAAGAGAAAGAGTGAGAGACGTTAAAGGTGGATTCCATTTGTGTAGATAATGTCCAGAAACTTGATTACTTGGATCACAAACCACTGAAGTTTTGTATAGGACTAAGATCTTAACTTGGAAATTTTACTCATATGTATGCTGTTACTTGAATTATTGAGTTAAAGGTTACACAGGTGATACCGATGTTTTTCATAAAAGCTTATCATTATACAAATAAAGTATCCATACAGGGTAACTTACCTCTTAGACTTCTACTTTGGCAGCAACTGGCCAGAAACCAAACACTGGAGAACGGCTTATGATACATTTCTGCTTATGTTTTCATTTCACACTAAAGTACAGTGCTTCATGGTAACTTTTATATTTAACTTGTAAAAAAAAACTTGGGTGAAAATAAATTTTGTATTTGTTTAACATCTGCCTTCCATACAGAAATTCAAAGGCTTGTATCTAGTTTACATTTAGTATAAATTAGTATTTTGCAAACTGGTGAATTTATGCATATTGATCAGACTCATGACGAAGTTACTATGTGCTAAATACAAAGCTTTAAACTATCAAGTGCTTTTGCGGGGGGAATGGGGAGATAGTCATTTCACCATAGCCTTACCTTCAGCCCAAGAGTTCCTGAAAGCAGAGACCTAGTTATAGGTAAAGGTAGTTAGGCCACTCTTCCCCTCCTATAAAGTAGAATCTGCTGGAGCCACCTACACAGGCTAAACAAAGCTCATTTTGTTTATAGTTAACCCAGTGTCCCTGGCAGTAGTAAAACCAGCCTAAAATATTTTGATCTCATCAAACATCAGCTATCAAAACACAAAGCCCTAAGGAAACTAAAATAACTTAGTCATCCAGAAGGCACTTAAGCAGGTAGATTTGAAAATCAGTAAAGTGTATCACTGAACCATTAACAGACCAATTGTCTTTAGATAGCTGTAATCTGACCGAGGTGGCCAAACCAAAGTAACACACGTTACTGTAGTAAAAATCTCATTAGATGTGTCATTTCCACCGTAGGAACCACTTTTATACATACCATAACCATAGTACTATAGTGAATGCACAGAAATGTTTTTACAGACTGGGTACACTTTTCAATGTATATTCTTAGACCTGAAGACATTTGCCAGTAAATGCTTCCAGGTACTTAACTACCCCTGGTTCAACCTATTGACAAACTGCTTCGTGCAAGCAGTATATAGGTTGTAGTTCAAGCCCTTCCTCCCCAGTATCTTGTAGTTCACTTACAGCATAGGCTAGAAACCTCAAGATCTGCAGTTAAAACCTGTAATAACCACACTCATTATCTGGTAATGTGGACTATGTTGAATTTTTCCCAAGTCATAATCCTATATGATCCTTCACAGCATTTGCTACTGGAGAAAGTCAACCACACAGAATATTTCTACTTCAGATCATTCTTAAAGCTATCCACAACCAGTATACAAACACAATGAAAATCTGGGTGTGCTTAAATATGCCGTAAGCACTGACCTTTGGAATGCAAAACCACCGAATTTGTTAAAATGTGTTAAATCCCACTTTTCACAATTTGTGGCCCAAAATACTGTGATGCCAGTTTTCTGTGGCACTTAGTTGTTAGTTGACTGGTGACTACGAAAGAAAACACCTATTCTCCCCTCTTGAAAAGACCTTTCTGGATTTTCATTAAGTCCTGTTAACGTTTCTGACCCAATTGGTATTCAGGATTTAAACTTGCCATGTGACTAGCCTGGCAAAATGAACCAAGACTCCTTGGAAGATGGTAGACTTCTAGTCTTTATGTAAAGCTATTTCAAAGCAGTTGCAACCCAGGTTTCCAAATGGATCCAGGTCTCTTGGGGAATATGCTAGTAAGTAGAGCTTTGCCATCTGTTTCATCTCCAATAATGAAACCATCTTCAATTGTCCCATTTGTTCCCCCCAACCTAGTTGTAGTTTTACCCTTGATTTTGGCATCTTTTAAGTTAAGCTGAGATCACTGGTCATTCATTATACCCATTTAATTCAACTTTAGTGTAAACCCTTCAAGTGGAAATGTAAGCCAAGTTGTTTATTGATGAGATTCACTTATGACCAGTAAAATTAAGTCACAATGACCAACAATTCCCATTCTGCTTAAATTCAGGTACTAGTCCAAAGTTCTTATTACATTTGACCCACCAAGCTTGACCCTAAAACACGAGCACTGACAGTTCAATACTGATGTGTTCCATTTACACATGGAAATAAACTGACATTCGAAAAGCTAGTATACCAGATACTCAGTGCTTTTGCACAAGCTAGCTATCAGACCACCCTAGCTGATAAAAATTGTTTCAAAATGCCACCAGTTAAAGCAAAGGAAGTTGTAGAAAGTTATTCAAACGCTTAATGTGTATGCTGTGATAAATATAGCATTTTATTAGGGACAGCCAATAATGTCCACAATGCTTCTTTCACTTGTTAATATGCCAGGAAAATCTGATATGCAGTTTAGTGAGGTTTTAAAATTTAGATGGCGATCTTGTAGACAACTGAATGTTGATAGAACAAGATTCACACTGTGTGTAAACATTACACGAAGTTATTTGGATACAAAAGTATTTATTTTATAAAATTTATATTTAAAATAGAACTTTAATCTGTCTACTCACAAAACCTAATTTAAAACATGATACATTTATCTCTCTAACTTATTTGATGCTATGCTTTACAAACAACACTCATTTTGTATTTTATCAAGAACCTGTACTAAAATCAAGTTTTTGTTTTTATCAGGAAAGCATTTCCCTTTTCTTAAAGAGTGCTTCTTAAATGAAGGCACCAACAAGAACTACTTTCAGATGGTACAGAATTTCTTATTTCTTGAAGACTCTGTGGTTGACCACTTCTTCATTAGTTACCTGCAGCAAGACACCTTCCTGCCAAAGGAAAAAAAAAGTATCTGAAGAAGTTTATCATGTTTGTCCAAAGAACCTAAATAACTTCAGTGGTGGTCTTAGGATCAAAGAAGACTCACTGGCGCATATAGTAGAATAAGCCCTGAATCTCACATTCCTGAAAAAGGCAATAAAGCCAGGAATTCAAGCTCAGGATAGTTTTTCAGAAATGAATTTCAGCATACAACCTACAGCTGTTTAGAAGTAGTACACTGGGGGAAAATTACTTTTCAACCCAATTATTTATTTAGTACCAGATATGTTAAGACTCATCTGCAAACATTTGACAAATTTTACCCTACCTTCTTTCAGCCTCAATCCTGATAAGCATGTAAAACTAAAACCATAAATAGTACAAATGTCTTTAATAAAAACCCTGGTTCACTGAAAATGCTTGATCCAAGAAATGTGAATGAATGCACAAGGTTGTTAATGATGGGAAATCTCATTTATTGAACTTTCAGCCTAACTTTTACCTACCATTTTACTACCAACACCACTGAAGGAACCAAGAAAAGCTTTATTAATGATCACTTGGCTTGCCTCAGCTGTTGAAATGAAGCACTTTACAGTCTTTGTGGCAGCAGAATATACTTGTCCATGGTTCATATCAATGCTAAAATTCCAGCAGGGAAAAAAATGATATGTTAAGCACCCGAATCTTCATGGAGAGGGGAGGGGAGGGGAAAAGAAGGAAAAAAAGGGAAAAACAACCAAAATAATTTAAGTATATGACAGATTGGAAAACAGGGTTTATAAAATTAAATATCTTGAGTTTATACATTGTTAAACTCAATTTATAGCTATGTTAAACTACGTAAGAACCACTATACTGATGAAAGACCATTGAAGAGTTATTAGTTTTATCTTTTAGGGAGGAAAATTAAGAAAGAAAAAGTAAATAAGATCTTACCTAAAGGAGTTTAACTGAAGCTTAGAACTATTTTGCTCTACACCCTCAGCTTTCGTTGGCATCCTTATAAACTACTGTAGTAAAAGCTTTGTAGAAACAGCACAGTTTTTTAAGACTGGCTGAATTTAGTAGCCGTCAAGTTCTCTTGTACTAGACCTGTGTCCCTGAAGAGTACCTCGCTGGGGTTATTTCCTTTCCTTGCATTGAAGAAGCAGCATCTAAAAGATCTAAAAAGGTGTTTCTCCTTGCAGAGATATCCCTTAAGTTATCTAGATAATTTAATCCTGATGAATTGCAGACAACACACTTACATCTGACCAGCATTTATCTTACACAAATATAACACCAGCTTTGCAATGGACCTTAATTATACTACCCACTCCTTAACTTATTTAAAATAAAAAGTCTATAATTACACAAATTTCCTTTAGAATTATTTTATTAAATCATAAATGTACAACAGCTTCTTAACTCTACACACGCACTTAAATTTTTAAAGGAAAAACGTTATGTCTTATTACACCATGATCCTGGCTAATAGCTTTTCAAAACTTTTGAGAAAAATCTTAAAAAAGGTTTCACATGTCACCTGAAACTTACAAATTTAACATTATCAAAGAAGGAATGCTTCTACACTCTTACAAAGACCACTAGAAAGAAACAACAATTAAAAAGCTAAGAAACTGTCTCAAAGGCATTTGTTTTTTTTTTTTACAATCCTTCCTCCACAGTAAGGTTATTAAATAATCCAATCCATTCACAAAATGGCTCTCTGCATCTGCTCTGGTGTCTTCTGCCATATCACTGCATATTTATGCATGACTGAGATAAGAGTTTCCTTAACATTGTTATTTCGATAACCTGAAGCTGTTCTGTTACCTCTGGGCTCTCATCCTCTCCTATTTATACAGTGAAGCCTGTTTCAACAGAAGTAAAGAGTAAAAAAAAAATAGGTTATGAAATTATCCATCTAACCAGATTTTAAGGAAAGATAACATGATCCTAAAAAGCTTTTTACTCCTGCAGCTAGGATTCCCAAGATAATAATGATTGTAAAACTCAAAAACTACTTACCCATGGAAAATAGGAAGAAGCTCAGTATCGGCTCCTCCCTCCATAACCACCACTTCCACCACTGCCTCCTGGACCATAATTTCCTAGAATTGAAAGAACAAAGTAATTTACTTAACTGTAATCAGCTATTAGTATAGCTGATTTCATTCCTCATGACCTCATGGTCAAAAAGCCCTCAGTCATCACCCATTTTGGAGTAAGATGCTTGCTGCTTATGCGTTCTAATCCTAGCTACTCAGAAGGCTGAGATCTTGAGTATCACAGTTCTAGCCAGTGAAGTCTAATTAACCACCAAAAAGCTGGAAGCTGGGAGTGGAGGTATGACCCCGAGTGCTAGCCTTGGGTGGGGGGGGGTGGGGGGGGGGGGAACCAACCTAACAATGGACAGCACTCAGGCTCTGAATTCAGTTCCTAGGACTGGCACCAAAGAACAAAAAAACCTTAGCTATGGGCTGAAGCACTTCTCTGAAATTTCTTTTCAACACTGTGTACCAAAGAATTTCCAGATTAAAAAAAAAAAAATCAAGTAATAAAAGGCTAATCTAATCATTTAACAAAAATCTAAAATTTCAATGTTTTAATTACCTCCACCATATGGTCCCCCCATGTTCCTGCTACCACCAAAGTTTCCACTCTTCATTGGACCATAGTTAGAAGGTTGCTGGTTATAATTTCCAAAATCATTGTAATTTCCACTTCCATAATTTCCTGTGAAATTGGGAAATCAGCACAGTGGCTCTCAGATTAAACCAAATTATTAAAAGTATGTGCACAAAGCTCCCACAAAAACCAACTAGAATGTATAACACCTATCTGTAACTATAATTTTTAAGGCCATCTAGTCACAACATTGAAACAAACTATAGCAAGTCATTAATTCCAATCCACACTCCCATATAAAGGTTGCAGGTGAATTTATTACCTCCTCCATAGTTGTCATAACCACCTCCGTAGCCCCCACCCTGGTTGCCATATCCAGGTCCTCCACCACCATATCCTCCTCTTCCTCCTCCATAACCAGGGCTACCTCCAAAATTGCCACCTATTATAAAATAAGCCTCTTTTAAGTAATTATTATTTTAATGCTGTTTGAATCATCGTATTATGCCCATTTCCAAAACAAGTATTTTTTAAGAGGGAAATATGTGCTCTATGACATCTTAGAACAGTTTATAGTAGACTAGTTAAAATCTTTCAGACTCGAAATATCTGAAATGCCCGCTAATCCCCTTAATCATTAAGGGTACTTCAAATGCTGCTTGAAATACATTTTGGGTTTAAAAATAGGTATTATACTACTATGGGCTATTGTGCAAAAGGGTCATCTATATCTAACTACTGATACTTAAAGACTCAAGTTTCTCATTCATGGTCTATCAAATTACTGTCTACCTCTAACAACGTGGTTCATCCATTCCCTCAAGTAGAGAAGGAACTACTGTGGTTCATAATTTTTCCTTTGGAATAAGTCCCAACTCAAACTTAAATTTGAGCTGGGTATTGGTGGCTCATGCCTGTAATCCTAGCTACTCAGGAGGCTGACATCTGAGGATCACAGTTCAGAAGCCAGCCTGAGCAGCAAAGTCCAGGAGACTCTCCAAACCACCACTTTGAGCTCAAAGTGGTAGAACACTAAGCTGATAAGCCCAAAGTTCAAGTCCCACAACTGACCCAAAAACAAAAAGCACCAAAAAAAAAAACCTTTCAAATCAAGTTTATATCTAGCAGTGAGACTTAGAAGTCATACCTGATGAGTGGCAAAAATCAGGTCTATTAGCTCATATTTTCAAATAATCCTTTATTAGGAAGTCTCAAGCTAAAAGTATAATTTTTCAGTTGTTACTCCAATATGATTAAAACCTAACATCTGACATGCTAATGACAGCTCATAACATCTGTAGCCAGAAGCATACTTGTGTACTTGTAACCTTTTTAAGTAAAGGTAAAACCCATTATGGCATCTCATTTAAAACCTCTAAAGCTTAAACTACTTAAAATGAAATCAAAAATGTCAAAGAGTTGACCCACTGGAATTTTAAAAAGCCTCATGGAAAGTCTAGTGTTGTATAAATCCATTGAACAATGAAAAATATGACTAAATCTTAAGTATATAAACTAAAATTCAAAAGTAACTGACCTCCAGGTCCTCCTCCATACCCATTATAGCCATCCCCAAATCCGCGTCCACTTCCATATCCATCTGTAAGGAACAAGAAAGTGTGATAAGCATACCCTGTTCAATTTTTTTTTCAGTCATAGCCCTGAACTCTGGGCCTGGGTACTGTCCCTAAGCTCTTCAGCTCAAGGCTAGTACTCTACCACTTGAGCACCATTCCAGCCTTTTCTGCTTATGTGGTGCTGATAATCAAACCCAGGGCCTCATGTAAGCCAAGCAAGCACTCTACTGAGCCACCTTCCTAGCCCCCTGGTTCATCATTTTCAATACTGAAATTTCCCCCAATCTCTATTACTTCAAAGTAATAATCAGTGACCTTAAAAATATACATTACTAAATTATACACATGGCAACCTAAAAAATATACATTACTAAATTATACACATGGCAACCTATAAATATTGTTACACAAAGGAATGACAATGCACTGGTCCACCCAGGACATTTCTTTCATACCTCATTGATTCAGATAAATACACCAGGACATAAAGGAAAAATTCAACCATTTTTTGGTCACATCTTTTTGGTGGTATGGGGTTTGAACTCAAGATATCACTCTCCTATGAAGACATAGTTCCTTCTCAGGATACTTCCTGCTACTTTTTAAGCTATAGTTTTGTTTCCTTTGTTCTGTGATCTACCCATTGCCTACAAGCAATGGTTGTGGGTAATTTCACTATTTGGAGCTCATTTATTTATAAGGCTGCTGCAATATGACTACTTTGAAAACTGGTTAACACAAAAACCCTTAAATGATTATCCTTGATTACAATTAAGTACATTATCAGTTGACTCTCCTAACCAGCCAGTCAGGAAAACTCACTAAGAAAAAGAATCAAAGTTATTTATATTTTTATTCTGGATACTCTAATCAAACCATTCACATGTTTTAATTGAACACATTTCAACCATCAAACAGAACTTTGAACCTGATAGCTCTCAGTGGCTCACATCTGTAATCCTAACTAACCAAGATCTGAGCATCTTGGTTTCAAGTCAGTTCAGGATACAAAGTCCAAAAAGCTGGAAATGGAGCTGTGGCTGAAGTGCAGAACACTAATATAGAACACTAATGCTCAGGGACAGTGCCAAGGCCCTGAGATGAAGCAAGCACTGGCCAAAAAGAAAAAAAAACTGAACTTACCAGATCCACCTCTAAAGTTACTTCCTGGTCCAGGTCCAAAATTTCCACCTCCACCACGAGAATCTCCAAAACCAAAGTTCCCTGAAATACAATGTCTGGTTAGCAACAAGAAAGAAGAAGAAGAAAAAAAAAGGATAAAAGAAAAATTATATTACCTCCTCTTCCACTCCTAGAACTTTGGACCTCCTGCATTTCTTGTCTAGACAATGCCTTTCTTACTTCTGCATTATGACCATTGATAGTGTGGTATTTTTGTACTGAAATGAAAAGATGAGATTCCCTTAAGTGATAAAAAGCCACTTGAAATTCTCTCATATTGTAGATGTTAACATACCCAAATTTTATGTAGAGCCATACACTTAGTCCCTGTAGACACTTACATACAATTTTATCCACAGGATCATGGTCATCAAAAGTAACAAAGCCAAAGCCTCTTTTCTTTCCAGACTGCCTATCAGTAATTATCTCAATGGTATCAATTTTTCCATATTCTTCAAAGTAATCCCGAAGGTGATGTTCCTCAGTATCTTCTTTGATTCCACCAACAAACAGCTTCTTCACAGTCACATGAGCCCCTGGTTTTCCAGACTCCTGCAGTAATATAGTGGGGAAATGTTATCCCAGTAGCAACAGGCATAATTGAAATTTTCTTCCCACCGATCTCTTGCTTCCACCTACCCTTCAACAACTAACCCAGTAAACCAACTTTATCTTAATAAGCAAAAACATAAGACTAGAAATACACCTCAAGAACTCTTCAGCTAGTACCTAATTTAAAAATTGTTTACCACAAAGAACTCATGTTTTGCTTACCTCTCTTGCTACAGCACGTTTTGGCTCAACCACTCTCCCATCAATTGAATGAGGCCTGGCAGCCATGGCAGCATCAACCTCAGCCATGGAGGAGAAAGTCACAAAACCAAATCCTCTTGATCTTTTGCTTGCAGGATCCCTCATAACCTTTAAAGACAAAAGAGATCTTGAAGGACTTGTGTACACTAACAACATAAAAACTAATTTTAATGGGCACTGATATTTTTGGCTGATTTACTTAAAAATGTAAACAAAAGTTCAATGCCTAAAATCTGTAATCAGTCAACTTACCACACAGTCTGTGAGTTTTCCCCATTGCTCATAGTAGTTTCTCAAACTTTCTTCTGTGGTTTCAAAGCTTAAGCCACCAATAAACAGCTTACGGAACTGTTCCTTTTCTCTCTGTAAAGGAAAACACCATTTCAATTTTTATTTACCTTTCCTCTCTGTATACAGGAAATTAAATTCTTAAATATGAGGTGACCTGCTGGCAGAGTACCTTTTTCCTCTCCAAAGGAACAGTTTCTAAAGTTTTCTGGGGGGAAAAAAAAAACTTACATCAAATTTAAACCATATGTTAAAACTGCATAGCTGTGTTACAGAAAAAAAAAAAAAAACCGCGTCAGCTGAACTATACAAGTTTCAAAGTCACTACTATTTGATCTAAATTTACTTGGTATCATCTTAAACTACCTTTGGAGGAGAAATAAAAATAAATCTATTTCATGGTCACTGAAGGGCTATATTTACTGATCTACTAGAAATTTCATTCAATTCTATATCCTAAGCGCAGAATTGTTACTTGAACTATGCATTTTAAAATATAAAACGTTTTGTTTCCTTATGCTTAGAATCCAATGTTCTATTTCAAGATTCACTATCTGAAATGACAATTTACTTCCTTGTTACTGCCCCCTCTGGTGGTTTCACTTAAATTAGGTGACTCAAAGTTATCTAAAAAACAAAAAAATAAAAAAAAAACTAACGTTTCCCCCAAAGAAACTGTTAAGAAATTAAGCATTTAAAATATATATAAAAATAACTTAAAACCATTTTCATATAACCCAGATTTATTAGCATAACAGCATCTGAAGCATAAATGTCTGAAACTCAAATCCCATTCAGATGAATCTACAGGGGTCAAAATGTACAGCAACATACTAGTCTCATCTCACTTTTGAAGTTTCTCATCATACAAAGCTACTTAACTGTACAGCATAGTAGTCAAATTTTACCCAGATAAAAACAAAGAAAAAATTCTGAAGTCTTAGTTTTTGCCTATCAGCAAGCAAATATGCTGCAACCAACCAACTCTTTTATTTGGGCCAGTGAGTGGCTAATAAATATGGCTTTCAGGTAGTGAGGCTAAAACATTGTTTTCAATTTGACTAGAACTTTCTATAATATTCAAGGCCCAACTATCAGCCATGACTGCATAAAACTGGAAGTGTAAATTGTAAGACTACAGAAACCACTTGATTGTAAAGCCATTTGCTGTTCAATCTAGCTCCAAAGATTATCCCTCAACGTGAGTTCTCAACTGTTAAAAATTTAATATACGTTTCAAGTAACGGGCAGTCTAATATTTATTTTTTACATACTACTGAAACTATCAAACTAGCTCGAGTTTTTCAGATGGTAATTTGTTAGCACTCAATTAGAAATATAGACAATTCTTACAAATCATTAACAAATAGCAAAAACTCATTACTTACCTCTTTTTTTTTCCCAAACTTACCGATGTCCACTATCGATTATAAACAATCGTTATTTTTTAAGTGTGCTTAGAGTCACAGAAAAATAATCAGGTAGACTCCCCCCTTCACACCTTATATTTATCAATGTAATAGCCACGATTACAAACAAGAGTAACAAAGGTTCAAACACGTAGTAGGCCCAAACCCAATAGTTTTTTACATAGCAATACACGTAGTAAGGTATCGTGCCATGTTTTAAAGTACAGGCAAGACAGGGCCCTTTTTTATTTCGCCTTCCTCGTGCCTTATACTGTGTTAAGCTTCCTGGTAAAAAAAAAATTTTTAAGCAAGATCCACAATTCAGCATATTGCGAATATCCCCCCCCTCCGCGCGCGCGAAAAAATGAGCGCCCGCCTCCCGGGGCGTCCTACTACTGAGGGCTCCCCCTTTTCCCCCCGCTTGAACTTCCTGCAACTCTGCTAGCTTAACTGCGGCAGACCCCGATAAAACCGCTAATCACAAGAACCAGGGGCAGGAAAACAAAATGGTTTCTTTCCAAGCAACGTGGCTCGCGCCAACGCCGGCCGCGGGCCTTCGGCAGCGATACCTTCTCCGCTGGAGCCAGCCGGCGCGGTGGAACCCTCCCCCTCCTCCCTCCCTCTTCTGGGTGGCTTCTCGACGCAATGGCGCCATTTCATCGAGGGGAAGGCAGAGCGCCTTTAACGAGGTGCGCAGGACTCTAAAGATCCGAGCTCACAAAACACTCCAAATCCACCTCGAAACGATACCAAAAGAGCCCGAGAAGAAAGAAAAATAGTCATCCGCTTCGATGCTGCCACGAAAGAATCAAAACTAGGAGAATTCCGAGAGTTAGAGGGGAAAAAGCTGCGCGGAGAGACAGACGGGAAAATGGCGGCCGCCAAATCCGGTTCCCGGGAGGGGGGAGGGGAGGCTCCGCAGCCTCGCTCCCGCGGACCCGGTGCCCGCCGCAACGCTCCGACGCCGAGACGCCCGCCCCAGCCCCCGCCCCAAAAAGCGTGCTCTAAAAAGGGGGGGTGCGATGTCCCGCTGTTACACCCTATCTTCATTAAACAGCGGGGCCGGCGGCGGCCGCCGATCAACTCCCCATCCCCCACCCCGGGAAAGGGAAATGGCGCCCAGAGGCTCAGGGCGGGGAAGGCGCTTGCACAGCTAGGCCTTCGCTCGCCACCCCGCTCGAAACGATCTCAGGGCCGACCGGCCCCGGGGCGGCCGGCGCCCCGCCGCGGTCGCGCGGAGGCGCCCCGCCGGCTTCCGCTGCGGCACCGAAGGCCTCGCCATGCCCTTTTCAATAACTCATTGATTTCAAACCCGTTACCTCCATCGCGGACTCAGTCGCTTCAGCCCGATTTCCCGCAGCCGAGCGAGATGAGAGAGATCTCCGCGGACGAACACGAACCGGACTCGTCCTGGCGCTGTAGTGAGAACTGCAGCTGTTCGAGAAACACCGCCGAGAGAACCTCCGCACGGGACCCGGCGCTGCTGCTACTGCCGCTAGAGCCGCTGCCGCCGCTTTTCTAGAACCTTCCCCCCCGACCAACGCGTCTTACGTCAGGACGTTACGTAAACGCCCTAACCGCCGCCACTGGCGGGAACGTATTGCGCCTTCCGTACGCCAACTACGTGCTCCTCCCCGTTCCCAGTTCGCAAGAGGACTCTACGTCAGTTGCGCAAACGCGGGCTAGTGAATTGCGGAAAGCTCGAGTCCTGCGCCTAACTCCTTTAGGAATAGGGTCCGGCCCCCGCCTTTAGGGCAGGTGAGAAACGGTCGCGCAGTTTGAAAAAAACGCTGTAGGGTGGAGCTTAGTCGGCAGCCCGAGGTCCGGCCCCGGGACCCACGCGGCTCCCGGCAGCTACGCCGTGGACAATCCTACCCCCGTTTGTCTCCCGCCTTAAAAATCCTTTCCCTTTCTGAGTACCTCACCAGCCCGAGGGGACTAACTTATCCCTTCCGGACACTCCCCGAGCGACTTCTGGTCAACAAATCAGTCCCCGCGGCCCGGCGGGTCGGGGCCCACCGCTCCGAGGCGAACCCGGTCGAGAGCCCCTCTCGCCGCCCCCCTACTGTTCAACCCCCCGTTTTCTCCAGCCTAGGGCCAAGGAAGTGGGCGGAGTCCTGTTTTGGCGCCAGTCGCTGCGGCGGCTGCGACACCTAGAATCCTCGGTCCGGGTCTCCGGCCGAGGCCCTCGTCTCCCTTCTTTCCTCACACAGGTCGTTCCCCACGGGGACCCCTTCCACCCGTACCACACCCCGGAGGCGCGAACGCTAAAAGCCGCAGTCGCCGCCACCCCTCGCGGGCTCGGACTCCCAACGGGCGGGCGAGGCCCCGCCCACCGGCGCGCGCGCCCGCCCGCCGCCACGCCCCGCCCCTCGCGGCCGCCCGGCGTGGGCGGCGTCACCCCTCCCCCACCACGGCCGGCGCGGCGCCCCAGCCCCCTCCCCTCGGATGTGACTGGAGCTGGAAGCCCGCGGGCCGTAGACGCTGCTGCTGCTGCAGGATCGCGACCCGGAGCATCTGAGGTGGTGAAGTCGGTGACTTGTTTTTTGTGTTTTGGTTTCTGGTAACCGTATTGCTCGGTGGTCGTGCTTTAAGACGCCACTTGCACCCCTCGGGATCCCTGATTTCCTCCGGTCCCCGCCCGGTGGAGTGTCAGGAGCTGCAGGGACAATTGTGCGGCCGAGCGGGCTTTCCTCCCCCCCTCCCCCAGGCGGGCCTGGCGCCGCGCGGGCGGTTAACCGAGAGGAAGGCCGGGGACTGTGGCGGAGGAGGAGGGCCGTGGTGTGACACCCGCCTCGTCTCCAGACAAAGCGGGCGCTCCCCTCCCCCGTTCCCGGGCGGGAAGGGGGGCACTCCCGCCCCGCCGCCTCGCTCGGCTCGGCGACTTAGGCCTCCGGGGAGGGCGGAATGTGCCTTGCCTGGGGAAGGCCTGCGGCCCGCTGCCCGGACGGAGGCTGCGGCGCGCGCTCCGCTACGTGGCCGCGGCGGGAGGGGGAGCGCGGGCCTGTGGCGCAGTGCCCTTGAGCCCCCGCCGCCGCCGCCTTTGTTTCTCCCCGCGGAGGCGCTGACCACGCGGCCCGCGCTGGCGGGCGCCAGGCCCCGGGGTTTCAGGCGTTGGAATCCAGCTGGGAGGCCCGAGTCTTCGGAGGGCGGGGTTGGGGGGGGGAGGTACCTTTTCATTATTAACTGATTTGAGAAGGGGTGGGGGGGTTGGGGGGGGGGAGACGGCTTCTGAAAAGAAATAAAGTTGGAATTTTCTAGAGAAGTTCCGACTCGTCCAGAAGTCTAGAGAAAAAGATGCATGGGAATTCACCGATTTTAATTTTGTAATTGTGCCTGGTTTTGAAGCGAAATGCCTTTTTTTTTTTAATTGAATATTGAATTCGTTATAAACAAGATTTGCGTTGCAAATAGGATTGTCGTTTGAGGGCCATATAGCATCTCAATCGCCTAACAACATTTTTGTTGTCTAAAGTTGGTTTAGAACCCTTGATAATATATGCTTGGGTGTATTAATAACAGTAATGATTAATGCAAGAAGTCAGACCTGCCTTTCGGATTTGTATCCGTTTGAAATGTGCCACCCCCTGCCTGAAGATTGATATCCAAACAGTACTTGTATTTAGCTGTGTCTTATGTGTCAAGAACACTTTCTAACTGTCATGCATTTTTCTAGTAATAGCTCTTCAAGTCTACAATTAAAAATGGCCTCTAACAAAACTACATTGGTAAGTATATGAAAGTACATAAGGACCTTACTGGAGGTTTTTTCTTTTTCTTGACAGAAATTATAATACGTCTCTTGAGAAATTTGCACTCCTGTATTTCCAAGCTACCCCCATAATACTTGAGGGGTGGGAGGAAATTAGAGACAAAAACCTGAGACAAATAATGCCTTAAGCTAAGTCAATAATCATAATGCATTTTTAAAAAGCCTTACTAACCTTGACCCCTTTATCCTGTCTTCAAACTTCATTACTGTAAATTGCAGAAGAACCTTAAATATTATTGTGTTATATCATCAAAAATCACAAATGTGTCCAGGAAAAGAATGAATCTATGTCTTCAGAGCAATTCATTTCCAGGACTTTATTAAAACCACAGTTTGCATTTTTTAAAAGTTTTCTAAAAAATTACAGAAATGTATAGTGACATGCTTTTCCATTGTCAAGTTTAAAGTTGTTTTTTTTTAAATCAGTATTTCCATGGAAATCATGGAATTCTTAAGGTATGGTTCTCACAGTTTTTAATTCTGCCACATTGTATTAGTAATTCAGAGTTTAACACTAAAAAGGACAAGTTGGTAAATTTTTATTTGTATCCAACCTTAGATTATACATGAAGTCCAATATTTTGCAGAACAGATTGGGATGTGTAATGTTAAAGCCTGTCTGATGAGTGTCTGGTAGATTCTCATATAGATCTAAGACATCAATAATGAAAAAGGCATCAAGCATCTTCTATGCTTCTTCAGGATTTTCACCTTTATCTTCACAGTCAGCAAAACAAACTGAAGACAATTGCCTTTACTATATGATACTAGTATTACTCAGGTATTGGATAAGGAAGGATTTAGCTGTCCATGAGGCTTTGAGTATACATGAAGATACAGAGAGCAAGCCAATTGAAACTCACTAAAATTAAGTTGTTTTTGCACACTGTTTGGTAGTCTTCTGTGTCTATTTGCTGGTTTAAAGGATCACAGATTGACCCGTTTAAAGATTCTCAAATCTAACTTCATTTTAAAATAATTAGTGATAGAATTTTAATAGGACACTGAGTATCTTTTAAACTAGGAACTGGAATATATTTTGGCTTCGAATTCCACCCCGTGCATGAAGCTTGAGCCAAGTACATACATTTAAGAGAAAAAAGTGAAAGTAGCTTATGAATGTGCTGGAGTAAAAGCAGCCTTTCTTTTCCTGCTGTTTTAATTCATTATTTTTTGTCACTTTTTTCATTGTTTCTTCAAGGATGTGTGGTTTTTGTTATTTTTTTATTTTCTTTTTTTAAAGTCCTTTAGTCTCCTCTCTTCAGGGACAGTAGCTAATTTTTTTACTTAAGACCAATATCTACTAAAAATTTGTCAGTTCCAGTTGCTTTGTTCTTCCATTATCTCTTACCTTTCTTGTACTAAATTGAGACAGAAGGCTAAGTCCTAAAATGCTTGGTTAATGAAAACTGTCCTAAGCCTGATTCAAAAATAGTATACCAAAAAAAATCTCTGGTTGCACACTGTGGCTTTCCTGTCTACAATTTAGGAGGTTTATTTGGGGCTTTTATTTTGTTTGTTTTTGTTTTCTTATTTATTTATTTTGGCTAGTCCTGGGGCTTGAACTCAGGTCCTGGGTACTGTCCCTGAGCTGCTTTTGCTCAAGGCTAGCACTCTACCAATTGAGCCACAGTGCCACTATCAGCTTTTTCTGTTTATGTGGTACTAAGGAATTGAACCCAGGGCTTCATGCATGTTAGGCATGCACTCTACCACTGAGCCACATTTCCAGCCCCTGATTTTTATTTATTTATTTATTTTTTGGAATAGGGCTTAGATGAGATGACTAAGCACATTGTATTAGGGAATTAGCCATGTCAGGTTTTAATTTTTTTACCTGATTTTATTCTTTCCATAGCAAATATCTTTTGGTCTATTAGAAACAGTTGGTTTAAGATCCTACTTAAGTAATATGCCAAAACAAAAAGGAATAGAACAACATGCCCCTCTTTAAAGTCAACTTATTTGGCTACCAGTTTACATGATGTCTCTTCAGTAACCAGGAGAAAAGTGGGGGGTTTTTTTCCTTGTACTTTCAAGAAATAAAAGGACCCAGAATTTTTGCCTAATTATCAGTTTGAGTGGTCAAGAGAAATATATAGATAAAAATTATGAAATAATATTCTTGTCCTGTTTTTAACTTACCTATGGCTTCTTCATGGTTAGTTTTGGTCTTAAAGTTAATTTTCTCTCTCCCTGTGGTTCCATCCTTCCTCCCCACCCCCATTATTTTACTTGTAATTTATTTTTCAGATAGGGTCTCTAGCCTAACTGCCTGGGTGAGCTGGCTCTCAGAACCCTACATCATAAGAGTTCTAAGCCTGTGTTTTCATTCTGCTGTTAATCTTTTTCTATATCCTTGAGGCTTTTAACATTCGTGCTTGGATTGGGAAAGCATGTGTGTCCTAGGGCTAGTTTTAACCTGTTTACTAGATCTTCATATGTAGTAAGACTTGTCACTACTATTTTTTTTTATCATTTCCTAATACTTTTGAGTTATAAATAAGTACACAGTGTGACAGTACATGTGATTTGGCCCTTAAAATATACTCCAAGTCTTTTTAAAAATGTTTCTTAATTTCTTTTTTAGCAAAAAATGGGAAAGAAACAAAATGGAAAGAGTAAAAAAGTTGAAGAAGCAGAGCCTGAAGAATTTGTTGTGGAAAAAGTACTGGACCGACGTGTAGTGAATGGGAAAGTAGAATATTTCCTGAAGTGGAAAGGATTTACAGAGTAAGAAACTTGTCTTTTACCTTTAGTTTCACACAGTAACCTTAACATTTTTAAAACTTCTTTAGTTCTAGGTTGTTTTGTAGTCTGTTTTAAGGCCAAGGATAGGTCAGATACCACTGGCTCCCAGCTGTCTAGGGGGGGGCTGAAATTCTGAGGACCATAGTCCCAGGCCAGCACAGGCAAAAAAGTGTACAAGACCTTAGCTCAATGCAAGAAGTCAGACGTACACCTGTCTTCCAACTATTGGAGGAACTATGGTCTACTCATGGCCTTGGGGGCAGCGGAAATGGAGACCCTGTCTCAAAATAATTAGTGCAAATATACTTCAGCAGTGAACTGACTGCCTAATAAGTTTGCAGTTATGAGTTTCAAACCCCAAATGTGATGGGGTTTTCAAAAAGGGCCAAGACTTGGGATAAAATTGATACCAGGTAGTTAGACTTTAGCCCTGGAGAGACAAATATATATAATTATTTGGCAGCAGAAGATTAGCAGGAGAACAAGGAAGTTTCCACTGAATACCATTTACAACTGACACAGCCTCAGAACTATTCACCAAGGCTGGCTGGCTTGTTTTGCAATGCCAAGACAAGTTCTCATCCTCAATTGTGTTTGCTTGTGCTGAGACACTATGGTGTTTTCCCATGCTCTCTGACATGAGTACTACTCCTGAGATCCTCAGAGTTGTTTTTAGCATAATTCCAGTACTAAGGAAGAAATATGCCAGCTATTACCACTAAATCTCATGATCAGATCAGATATTAGACCTTTTCAGTATCTAGGCTTAACTTGGACTTTTTTTTTTTTTGCCGGTCATGGGGCCTAAACTCTGGGCCTGGGCACTGTCCCTCAGCTCTTCAGCTCAAGGCTAGTGCTGTACCACTTGAGCCATCGGGCCACTTCCGGCTTTTTCTGATTATGTGGTGCTAAGGAATTGAACCCAGGGCCTCATGCATGCAAGGCAAGCACTCTACCACTGAGCTTCCTTCCCAGCATTATTTTTTTTTGTTGGACATTATTTTTTTTTGTTGCCCAGCATCCATTCCATCAACTGTTTCTTCCCAAATTTTGACTGAAGTTTGTTTAGTGATACTCAGCCCTAGGAGAATTGTTGAATTGTGGAAGAAAAGTTCTCTTTACTGATAATGCTTTAGCTTTGGAATGAAAAACTGAAATCAGTATGTTGAATGAGTCTGTTAGAAAATAAAGCCTATGCAGAGGGCAAAAACCAAAAGATGGAGACACTTGAGTTGTAGTGACAATGTTTATGCTGCTGGATCCAGCATATCTCCTGGACTTTTCAGTCACGTGAACCAACAATACATACCCTTTTGTTTGTTTTTTAAAAAGGAAATTATGAAATTACAGAGCTTAATGTAGTTGGATAATGCAATCAAAATATTTACATTTTTTCCTCCAAATACGGAGCTGAAAAATTGAAACAAGAGTGTCTTGAATAGAAGTGTTAACACTGTATCCTGCTTTATACCATAAAGCTCCATGGTCAGTGATAGTTACAAATTAGTGGCATTCAATAGTTGGTGGAGGTAGGTATGTTATTGTCAAGTAATTAAGTTTTTGGTATCTAAAATTTCCCCAGCTGACAATTTTAAAGCCGCCTCCAGTGCCCGTTACCTTGGTACTAGGGGATCTGAGGTGGAAAGATATTACTTTCCAGGCTACCTGGTCACAAGACAATAACTGTCTCAAAGGAAACAACTTAAAGCCCAGCACTGGTGGCTCATGCCTAAAATCCTAGCTACTCAGGAGTCTGAGATCTTAGGATCATGGTTCAAAGATACTCTTGGCAGGAAAGGCCATGAGCCTAATCTCCAGTCAACCACCAGAAAACCAGAAGTAGAGCTGTGTGGCTCAGTAGTAGAGCAGTAGCCTTGAGCACAAAAGCTTAGGGACAGCTTCCAGGTCCTGAGTTCAAACCCCAGGATTGAACTCCCTCCCCCCCCCCCCACCACCACCATCCCCACCCAAAGAATCAAGCTTTGTGGGAGTTAGTTAAATGGAGATACAAGATAATGTAGACATCTATACTGAAAATAACAGCACATTAGAACTTCAGGCCTTTGTTCTTATAAGTTTGCCCATTCAGGGTCCGCATATCAACCAATGAAGTTAATAGTACCTTTCCTAACATCCCTAAAATAATTCTAGTTCTGAAAAGGCTTTGGGGGAAAATTGTCAAGCTTATCACTAATACAGGACGACCATTAATTTTTAATAATCAGTATAAGATGTTTATTAATTGATGATCATTTTCATCTTTACAGCTCTTCTAGAAAACGTGGCAATTATCCTCTCAGCCTTACAACATCATATGTAACTATTTTAGTCTTTATGTACTATGATTGGTCTATCTATACAACTTCTCTGTAGATGTAGTACAGAAGCAGTAAATGATATATTAAGCAGATAAGCATGGCTATATTCCATTAACTCCTTTTGTGTTTGTGATGTCTGTGCATGTATGTGCACGTACACAAATACTGAGACTTGAACTCTGGCCTAAAGTGTTATTGCTCATCTTTTTTGCTCATGGATGGTGCTCTCCCATTTGAACCATACTTCTAATTTTCTGCCTAAGCTGGCTTCAAACTTTGATCCATCATCAGGTCTCAGCCCCATGAGTAGTTAGGATTAAAGGTGTGAGCTGTTGGTGCCCAATACCGACAACACTGAGCTCTGAAATTAAAATACAATTTTTATTTTGGAATTTTCCCCCCATCCTTTACAACATATAAAAAAACATTGGTTACAGGCCATTACAAAAGGCTAGATTAGGCTTTTGGTTCTAATTCAGAACATACTAGAAATCAAAAACACTTGTACATCTGAAACTAGCCTAACTCTGGGCATAATGTGTGTGGAATAATTTGGAATGGAAATCAGAATCTGAGTTAGTTCTGCAGTATTGATGATTGAACCTAGAGCTTTGCACATTAGGGAAATGTGACATTGTCCAAAAATAAATGCACTCTACCTGATTATGTAACAAACCCCTCTGTACATCACCTTAATAACAATTTTAAAAAACTTTAAACGCATTCTTTTTTAAAGCAATTACTGTAGGGGGCTGGGAATGTAGCTCAGTGATAGAGTGCTTGGCCAGCATTCAGGAAGCCCTGGGTTCGATTCCTCAGTACCACATACACTGAAAAGACCAGAAGTGGCGCTGTTTCTCAAGTGGAAGAGCCCTAGTCCCTGAGCACAGAGAGGCTCAGGGACAGTGCCCCAGGCCCTGAGGACAGGTAAATATATGTAGACACACACACACGTACATACATAGTAAGGACAGGCAAATACACACACACACACAGTAAAGGTGGAGTACAGAGTGGTTATAGTTACATAAGATAACGAATATACTTCTTTTTTATTTATGAGTACATTCTTTTTGAACAATGTTAGCCCCTCTGTCATTTTCTTCCACTTCAAATCACCTTTCCCCCACACTGGGTCTTTTCGCCCCCAAGTTGTAGGGTTCATTTCCAACATAGTGTCTAGTTAAACACATTCTAAAGAAGGTTGTTTATTAAACTGAGGGAGATGTTAGCTTCAGTTACTCCTTCAAAGTCGTCAAGTGCAGTTAACTTTGAGAAAATAACAAACTGCCCATTTAGGGCTGGGAATATAGGCACAATGGAAATTTACTTTCAGATAATTACGAAAGTTCCAGATGATGGTGATGAACCATGTATAACTGAATCAATGTATTTTACTTGACACAGTGCTGATAATACTTGGGAACCTGAAGAAAATTTAGATTGTCCAGAATTAATTGAAGCATTTCTTAACTCTCAAAAAGCTGGTAAAGAAAAGGATGGTACCAAAAGAAAATCTTTATCAGACAGTGAATCTGATGATAGCAAATCAAAGAAGAAAAGAGATACTGTAAGTATAAAATGCCAACAAGAAGATTGGCACTAAAAAGATTGATGACTTGAATTTTTTTTAATAGATATTATTCAAATTTTAAGACTTCTAAAATAACATTAGGAAGCCTTTTATAAATGACTTGCTAATGCACGGCAAAAAGGATAAGCAGGATTGAGCCTACATTGTGTGACTACAATAAGTAGTTATGCCACTTAAGATGTGCTAGTCCTATTTTTGTCCTGGATTTGATATCTGACCAGGCCTATTACACGTGATCTATGTACCAAAAAATACTTTATTTTTTGAAGTATTATAATTTTATAATTTATTGACGTGAATAGAAAGTTTGATTTGTTTATATGTTGATCTAGTATTTGTCTCACTAATGTTACTATAGTTTGGAACAAGTCTGGTAACTTAATACCCTTGACTATAAAAAACTCACTATACTTGCCCTCCTACTGGACTACCATGGTAATGTAGGGATAGATCTTTGAATTAGTACTGAATTAGTTTTTAGGGTCAAGCTCCAAGTATGTTTTATATATATTGGTAAAGAATTATAGATTTGATATGGATTAGATATTTGGTCATTTAAACTAGATGAGACCTTTACAGATACTTTATTGGATCTTTATAGGGTTTCTATTTTATAGAAGGAAAGAACAAAACTACTTACAAATTGGGTTCTGAAATCACATTTATAGGTATATACTTTTGATAGTAATAGCTAGCCTGTTACAAGCCCTGACTAAGATCTCAGTCAGTTTTCCTCAGACCATACTTTGAGAACCACTGCTTTGTACCTACATTTTTTCTTTATTCTGGTTATGCTTTTAAATATGTGACTGATTTAGACTTAATTCCTAGAAATAGCTTGATTTTCTTGTTTTTTTTTTTTGTTTTGGATTTTTGTTTGTAGGCAGGGTCTCACTATGACAGACTGGCCTTGAACCTTCTGCCTTACCTTCTGTAATTCTGCCTCCACCTCCCAATATGTAATAAGGCTCTGTCTCTTGACAGGAGGAGAAAAAAACTTAAAATTTATTACCAGAAATAAAGGAATTAGATTTTCTATTATCTCACATAATTTTGCCCATGATGAGATTGGAAATTTGCTTTAATTTGGGATGTTTTTAGGACTAAACATTCTACATTAAATATCAAACTTGATTTTCTGCTTGTACAATTAATGGAAATGACAACATGTTTTAGTACCAAATAAGGACTCATCTTTTTGTTTCACTATGGAAGGTCTTGATGAAGGTATATCTTGTGAAGACATTAGAAAGTAATGTTTTAGGTTTGCTGTGTGGAAAATTGTATGGAAACACTTAATGTAAGCAATCACTTATCCTCTTCCAAAAAGGCTGACAAACCAAGAGGTTTTGCCAGGGGTCTAGATCCAGAACGAATAATTGGTGCCACAGACAGCAGTGGAGAATTGATGTTTCTCATGAAATGGTAAGTGTTCAGGCAATAGTTTTATTTTAAAATGAGAATCAATACATGTAAATTTTTGTAGAGCCATGTCTGAAAGGTTTTGTAGTTTTTCTTGTAAGAATTGAGACTTGCTGGGCATTGGTGGCTCATGCCTTTAATCCTAGCTACTTGGGAAGCTGAGATCTGAGGATTGCAGGTCAAGGCCAGCCAAGGACAGGAAAGTCTTTTTCCTTTTTTTTTTTTTTTTCGGGGGGGGGGGGGTCAGGTCATGGGGCCTAAACTCGGCCTGGGCGCTGTCCCTCAGCTTTTCAGCTCAAGACTAGCACTCTACCACTTGAGCCACAGTGCCACTTCGGCTTTTTTCTTTTTTCTTATGTGGTGCTGAGGAATTGAATCCAGGGCCTCAGGCATGCAAGGCAAGCGCTCTACCACTGAGCCACCTTCCCAGCCCCAAGTCTTATCCCCAATAAACAACTCAGAAAAAGCAGAGGTGGCATTGTGGCTCAAGTGATAGAGCACTAGCCTTGAGCACAGAGAGGTTCCACAGAGCCCAGGCCCTAAGTTCAAGTCCTAGGACTGGGAGGTGGCATGGAGATTGAAACTACAAACCATGCGCTAAAAGGATAATTCTAGTTTGGATAGCAGTGTTTTATAGCAAGCATCAGCAAACCTATGGCCTATTAAAGGAAATAAAGTTTATTAAAACATAAGCAACAGCCACCAACCACATTTCTTTTCCAAAGGGATTAAGATTAAACACCCTCTTTTGGGCTGATGCAGAACTGGGGTGTGAACTCACATGGAGAGTGTTTTCTGCTCAGGCTGATGATTTCCAGAGCTCATACTCCTGAGCAACTAGGATTACTGGTGTATTCTACCAATGCCTTGTTCTTAAATACCTTTTGAATGAATTGTTTCTTTTCTATTCTTTGTTTCTGCCAATCTTGGGGCTTGAACTCAGAGCCTGGGCACTGTCTCTAAGCTTCTTTCGCTCAAGGCTAGCATTCTACCACTTGAGCCACAGCTCTACTTCCAGCTTTTTCTGTTTATGTGGTTCTGAGAAATGGAACTCAGGGCTTCATGCATGCTAGGAAAGCACTCTACCACCAAGCCACATTCCCAGTACTCTGAAATGAAAAAAAAAATTTTTTTTTTTTTTTTGCTTGGTCATGGATCTTGAACTTGGGGCTTGGGTGCTGTCCCTGAGCTCTTCAGCTCAAGGCCAGCACTGTACCACTTGAGCCACAGAGCCACTTCCATTTTAAGTGAATGATTCTGTTATCATAAACAATTTTAATTTTTTTAACTTTATTTTTTCCTTGCAACAGGAAAGATTCGGATGAAGCTGACTTGGTGCTGGCAAAAGAGGCGAATATGAAATGTCCTCAGATTGTAATTGCATTTTATGAAGAGAGACTAACTTGGCATTCTTGTCCAGAAGATGAAGCTCAATAATTGTTTGCATTGTTTTTTATATATATTTATACATATATATAAAATCTGAGTCTTGGTTTTTGAATTAATGGTGTGAAACAATAACTACATTCTAAAAATCAAGTTTGATAATGGTTTTGAAAGTAGTATTGGGGGAGTTGTTGAGTTTTTTGGGTTTTTTCCTCAATAGCACTGGTTACTTTGAACAAATATAATAAAGGCTTTCTGTAGTTGCTTCTTTTATCAGAAAAGAATATTTAATTCCATGGTATATTTCCTCTGCATTCAGGAACAGGTTGTGTTTTTTTTTAATATTAGGCAATTTTTTTTTTGGTCATTAATCAAAACAGCTTGTCTTTAACTGCTATGTTGAAGGACCATCCTGTATTTTTTTTGTGTGTGTTTGTGTGCGTGTAAACAAAATACATAGGTAGTTTTTTGTTTTGGAGATTTTGCTTGTTTAGAGGTGTTGGGCATCAGACCCAGAGCCTTGCATATGTAGGCAAATGATGTATCACTGAGTTATATTCCTGGCCCTTGTTTTAGTTTTTTTTGTTGTTTTTTGAGACAGGGTCACTAGGCAGCTCAGGCTGGCCTTGAACTTACTAGGTAGCCAGGCTAGCCTCAAACTTTAGGTCCTCCTGCCTCTGCCATAGATATACAAATGCAGTAGGTTTGCAAAACTTATTGAAAGGAAAAAATTTATCACTACCAACAACTTTCCTTATCCAGATGAAAAAACTAAGACGTTTTTATTTCCTTTCATTAAAAGTTTCTGTAGTGAGCATTCCTTAACAGAATATTGGAATCTGTATACTAAAAGTTCATGGGTCATGATCTAAGTCTCAGCTCATGAAAATGTAAAATCAACTGGTTAGGGATTTCAACTATTTAGGACCTGCTGGCCTAAATGATCAAAATTTTATAATTATTGACCTGCATGCTTTTTCTTTACCCCAACTCATTCCTTACATGTAAGTTCAATTTTTTTCAGTATTGGGTTACTGGTTCCACAAAAGCCAGAGAAACAACTTTGTAGTAATCAGAATGTTACCCAACTGTATATTGTTTACTTTATTGTAAATAATGGTGAACAGTGGTCAATAAATAGTTTTATATTCCTTTATGTGATGAGACTTTTTATACTACCTGATTTTTTTTTTTTTATAATGAGCAGGAAAACATCCTAACAGTTACTGAGTTTATACAGAGATGGTTCCTACTGGGAAAATAAAAATTGGTTTTATGTGATTCCCTAAGAGGTACTTGCCTCATTAGAACGAAGTTTTGATACTTAAGAATCTGCTGTCATATACTTGCCACCCCTGCATCTTACATATAAAGGGGGGGGGGGTTGTTTTTTTAATTGTTTGTGGGGTTTGAACTCAGGGCCTGGACGCTGTCCCTGGATGCCTGTCCCTCTTTGTGCTCAAGGCTAGTGCTCTACCACTTGAGCCACAGTGCCACTTCAGTTTTTGAGTGGTTAATTGGAGATGAGTCTCAGGGCGACTTTTCTGCCTGGGTTGGCTTTGAACCGTGATCCTTTGACCTCAGCCTCTTGAGTAGCTAGGTTTACAGGTGTGAGTCACAAGAGCCCAGCTTATAAGTGCATTTTTAATTTTGTATGTGTGTATACACCGTTGTGCCAGTCTTGAGCTCAGCCTCAGCACTGCCCCATTCTCTCCAGGATAATGCTCTATTATTTGAGCCACAGTTCTGCTTCCAGCTTTTTAGTGGTTAAATGGAGATTCGATTCTCATAGCTTCTATGCATTGACTCACTTTGAACCACAATGCTCAGCTCTCAACCTCCAGGAAAACAGGTGTGAGCTGCATTTTTAATTACAAATATATTTATTGTCCTCAAAAATACTAAAAAATTAATAAGGAAAGAATTTTGGGGGAAAAAATTAGAAAAATAGAACTATGAGAACACAATAGTTAGGTTTTACTAAGGCATTATAAGCCATTTTTAAATGCTTCAAATTATTGAAGCACTAAACTAAGTTCTAATAGCAAAATTCTTTTTCCTGTGGATGGTCCTGAAGTAGAAATTAACTTTGGTAGGTTCAGTGGAAATTACCTCCCTGAAGCATTTGACACATTTTCTTTTTTTTTTTTTGGGTCCGGTAGTGGGGCCTGAACTCTGGACCTGGGCACTGTCCCTCAGCTCTTCAGCTCAAGCCTAGCGCTCTACCACTTGAGCCACAGCGCCACTTCCGGCTTTTTTCTTTTTGCTTATGTGGTGCTGAGGAATCAAACCCAGGGCCTTGAGCATGCAAGGCAAGCGCTTTACCACTGAGCCACCTTCCCAGCCCATTTGACACATTTTCTAACAATGTAGGAATCAGCCAATAATTTTTCCATAGGAGCCCATTTTTATAAAGATAACTTTGTTGGTGTTTTTTGTTGGTTTGTTTTTGCTGGTCCTAGGGCTTGAACTCAGGGCCTGGGCAATGTCCCTAGCTTTTTTGCTCTGCCACTTGCCACAGTGCCACTTCTGGCTTTTTCTGAGTAGCTTATTGAGTCTCATGGCCTTCCCTACCTGAGCTGGCTTTGAATCATGATCCTCAGATTTCAGCCTCCTGAGTGCTTAGGATTACAAATATGAGCCATGGATGCCTGGCCATAAATAATTATACAGAGGAGTTACAGTTAGATAAGAAAAGAATACTTTTTTCCCCCCAGAATAACTATTGAGACAGGTTTTTTTTAATTTTTTTTCGTTACAAAGATAATGTACAGAGGGGTTACAGTTCCATAAGTCAGGTAGAGTACATTTCTTTTTGGACATGTGAGACACTTAGAACAGCTCTTTGTGTATAGCGATAGAGGTATGGGTTTGGGGCTTGGGGTTTACTGGGTGGTTTTTTTGGTGGGGGGAGGTTAATGCCAGTACAGGGTCTTGAACTCAGGGCCTAGGAGCTCTTGCTTGGCTTCTGCTCAAGGCTAATGCTCTGTTACTTGAGCCGACACCTCCATTCTGGCTTTTTGTTACTTAATTGAAGATAAGAGTCACAGAGTTTTATGCCTGGTCTGGCTTCAAACTTTGATACTCAGATCCCAGCTTCCTGAGTAGCTAGGATAACAGGCATTGGCTATAGCACCAGGCTTTGAAGTATATTTTATTTTATTTTTTAATCTCTTAGTGTAGAGTAGAGATAATGAGTACTTGGTGTATTTTAAAGTTTTTGCTATTGGATAAATGTGACTACTGTTCTGTAAGGTGCCACTGGGTAGATGTAGATGAACTCAGTCTTTAGTGAAAGTTGTGCACTGATTTACACTTCTATCAATCAATCATCTTTACTTTCACTTCTCATATCTTCATTAGTACTACAAATTAATAACCTAAGTCTTACAAATTTTTTCAAGTGGTATATTGCCTTTATTTGCATGTCTAATTTTGTTGTTTGTTTCCTGGTCATAGGGTTTGAACTCAGTTTCACATTGCTAGGCAGCCTCTCACTTGAGCCCCACCTCCAGCACTTTATGCTTTTCAAAGATTTCTTCAAGTATGTGTTTTTTGCCTATCTGGGATCATAGGAATGGGATCACCATAGCCAGCTTGTTGATTAAGAGGACTTTTTTGCCCAGGCTAGCCTCAACTTGGGAATTTACCAACCTCTGTTTCCTGCATATTTGTTCTAGAAGCTTGTGCTACCAACTGCATGTCTGTTCATTGTTTCCTCAGTGTTAGGTTTTTAAAAAGAGGTAGCTGAGTAAAAACCACACCACGCACGTGGTATTCAGGTAAGGGGTAGGTAGATTTATTCATTGTTCTGGCTGGCACCAGGCCATGCTGGCCCTCCAAGAGACTGGGAAAGACCTGGGAAAAAGAGCGTCTGGGCCTGGGCTAGTCCTTATCTAGGGTATGGGTGGAGAAAGGTGTGGCCACAGCAGATGCAGATGTGACTTCTTCCAGGTGTGCCAGTTGCCTAGGTAATGCAGGTACTGGGCGGAGACTTTGCTGCAAGAAGGGTGGAGTTGGAGTCTGCTCACCATCCAGGAGTGGACCATACACCCAGTACTAGGTTCTGAACTCAGGATCTACTTGTTTAGCTTGCTTGTCATCTGGTACTGCACCACTTGAACAACTTTTTGCTGGCTAATTAAACAGAGCTCATAAGACTTTCTGCACTGGCTGGCTTTGAACCACAATCTTCGAATCTCAAGTAGCTAGGATTTTCAGGTAACAGTCACCAACACCCAACTGTGCTTTTCTTTTTTTTGTCAGTCATGGGGCTTGAACTATGGGCCTGGGCGTTGTCCCTCCCCTCTTCAGCTCAAGGCTAGTGCTCTACCACTTGAGCCACAGTGCACTTCCAGTTTTGTGAGTGGTTTATTGGAGATAAGAGTCTCACCAACTTTCCTGCCCAGGCTGGCTTTGAACTGCAATCCTCAGAGTAGCCTCCTGAGTAGCTAGGATTACAGGCATGAGCCACCAGCAAAACAGCAGATACCCCTTATTTATAGGCAAGCATCATGGGTTTTGGTAACTGGGCATGATAACATGCTACAAGATTAGATCTTAAGTATTCTCACTACAAAAAATAAAGTGGTACAATTATGAGGTAATGAATATCTTAATAATTAATTTTTAAAGTTCTTAATTGACAGATACAATACAAGGCCTATGTGTGATAAAGAATATGGACAGTGGTAGAAAAGAATAAAAATCAAGGAAAGTACAGTAGTCCTAGGTAATGGTTGCAACATTCAGAATGAAGAATACACAGGTTTGTGCTACATGTCTTTGCCACACCATTCTTACACATATGACTATATTCCAGAAGGCTAATGTTAGAGCATATTAGACTTTGCCAGAAAACCATGCCGACATCCAGGTACAAAGAACAAAGAAAAGGTTTATTGCCAGGAAAGGGACCGACAAGAAAGAAGAGTGAGAAGTGCTGGCTATTGTCTGAGGTGACCCATGTAAACTACTGAGACTAGGAGGGGCTAGAAGCAACTAGGAGTGGAGACCCTCATATGTAAACATGTGGGCCAGGGGCTTCATCATGGCAGACTAGGATTTATGGCTGCTGCCCACATAGTAGATAAAGGGCTTAGCTTCCCAGACCTGAAGGGGCTCTTGTTTTCTTATATGGTGGTAGCTGCCCCAGAGGAGTGCCATCTCAAGGTAAAGAAGGGTTGGAAGTTGATTATTTATTACCTTTACTAAATTGGCCTAGTATTGCCTAGGAAAGGAGCATACTAAGCTGTGGAAAGGGGAAGGAGAGTGCTAAACTATCAGAAAGGAGCTTATTGGCTTACATTCCCCACTCTCTGGTTTAATAATTGAATGGGAGCATCAGGTCAGGAGTATGGGTGAAGGTCCTTTTTTCTGGAGCTGCTTCCTGCTGAGAAGGGTGCGAAGTAGTCATTGGGGACCACTCAACCAGGTACTCTCCTAGGAACATTTGATTGACTGGCCAATTAGTGATGTCTCCTCTTTCTCATGAGGATGTTCTGCATGGACCTCAATAGGCAAGGCACAATCAGTATAAGGCAAAAAATTGTACTTAAGGACTCAAGATAGGCATGCGCCAATGGAGTAAGCCACCTGAATAGGTCCCATCCCACTTCATTCTGTTGGACCTGAGATGTTTGACTTGTTCCTTGATAGCATAGCTGCTATGGTTAAAGCAGCACATGTTTTTAATCTCACACCCTTGGTGGTAGAATAAGAGTAGGCTCCTACTGGCCCTGGTATCCCTATCAAGAAAGTGAGGGCAAGGTACAGTTTTCATCCAGCATTGGAGCTCTTGTTGTTGAAGCTGGAAGAGCTCCTTATGGGGTTGTACAACAGCTAGACAGCCTAGGCAGTATTGGGAGTTATGAAGAAGATTGGCAGGGATATAGTTAAAAATATAACTTACAGGTTAAACAACAACAAAAACAGCCATTAGGTAAGGAGACATGGCCCTCTGCATATAAAATGTGTTCATAGTTGGCACAAGTAAAATTGCCCCTTTTTAATTTTATACAGACATGGGTTCAATTTTGAACTGGGCACGTGTTATTTTAGGAGCCAGCATAGATGGTATTTATATTTGCCATAGGATTGCAAACCAGAAGCAGGCAGGGCCTAACCACATGTCCCATCTCCAGTTCCTGCCTCAGA